AAAAACATTTATTTTTAGTATAAATGGGCAATATTTGGGTATATTTAGGCAATATTTGGGTATATTTTGGGCAATATTTGAGTGTATTTGGGTATATTTGGGTATTTCGTGCTGCCCAGAATTTTTAACAATAAGATAATTTTCTTATTTTTCCTTAAAAAAGTGTACGACACCGGGTGCACTGACTCTAGACTCAGTGGACATGTCCTCGATCAATTTTATTGTAAAATTACACCCAACAAATTAAACTTGCCTCTTATGAGTAATATCTTCCGTTGAAAAATATCACCAGACACTCTTCTTGTAAAACGTCATATTTAAGCTCGGGAGCAACCATTAAACATAACAATAACAACATAGGTCATAGACCACCAAATTTTAAATTTTCTTAGGATAATGGACACGTCGTCGATCAGCTAATTTTGACATGATAATGTAAAAAAATGTTTAAACTAATACTTGTATGACAAAATTTGGAGTTTATATTTAAAAGAAATGTGAATAAAATAGAAATGAATTATTTGAGATCTTTTACTGGGATCCATGCGTTTATCACCTCCATGACTGATAATAATCTCTCTTGCAACATTTTTTTAAAAATAATCTAGAATGAGGACAGCCTCTTGATGCCATGAATGTTGCATAATTTATCAGAATTTGTTCATTAGCAGGCTTTAACATACACTCTTCCCCAAAATTTTGTAATATAACCTTTGTATTTCCCATTGATATGGTTCTGTTCAGTGGGGTAAGGAAGGCCTAATTCAATAGCTGCTTTACATATGGAATAGCCCTGGGTCACAAGAATGTTTTGCCTCACTATATATTTGATCTGGGTGGGTCCTCTGAGACCTAAGGCATTGTTAGACCTAGGCATTGCTGAAAATATATAATTGAGTGTCACCAAAGGGGAAAAATATAGTGGTGTAAAACCAAGGAAAAAAAACAGTAAAAATATAGTGGTTTGTAACCTATGTGTTTTTCCTATCCCATTAATTTACTACTTTTTTACTTTTAATATTATGTAAAAATATCTAATTATTCTTAGGAAAGCGGAAAATATGTATTTTGGGCAAACTATGCATATATTTAGCATCTTTTCTTAGTGGCCGATCCCTGACCTAGATTACTGTAGGAAATCGACCCACCCGCTTCCTGGGAAAAGAGCTAAAAGCTTACTTAATTTTATTATGTAGGAAAAAAATTGCTATAATTATCAAAAGTAGTTATTTTTTTGTCATTTTTTATATATTTTGTATAAATATTAGAGCTAAGGAGAAAAGATGCACTTAATTTTTTATTGGGTAATTTCTACTTTCACTTTGCCATTGTTTTTAGAATCGTCTGCTGCGTGAACTTTGACCTCACATAAATACTCTTCAGTGGGAGTTTAGTAAAGTACTTACATGTGTTGGAAAAACAAAGCAAAGAAAGTCCGTGTTTTATCAAGTTTATTTGAAAAAGATACAAAAAACAAAATTTTGATCGAGGACCTGGCTGATCGAGGACGTGTCCAATCACTCTAATGTCAAATCGGCCAAAAGTTAGTCAAACCACCTAAAATCAGCCCTAAAATTATTGTTGTTAAACATCCTAGTTAGGATTAAATAAATTTATTGACTGAAAACTACGCTTTAACATAAAAGTACCAATTTATCATGTGCTCAAATTCTTCGGTTCGAATCATTTTGATGTCGAATTGTCCAAAAAATTAAAAAGGCTAGCTAAATAATTTTGCTAAATGAATTGTCATGACAATATGCTAGAAAAAGATTTGACGAAATAGTTTGATAATCCTCTTTACCTACTTTCTGATGTAATGGCCAGAATGCAATCATAATTACCCTTTCCCGCAAATTTATTGCAATCTCGACTTTTGGGAAGCAAGGGAAATAACAACTTGTTTTTTTCGGTAGCAAGACACTTCACTCCCCAGACACTTCACCCCTCAAATTTTGAAGACACTTCACCCCTCAAGACACTTCACCCCCCAAAATACCCTAAGACACTTCACCCCTCATCCATTTTTTTTTATATAAAGTAAATAAGTCAACAACATAATGCCTTGATATGTTTATTTTTATTATTTTTTAGTATTATTTGATTAAAGGACAATTTACAAGACATTTCTAAGGGCAAAATAAAAAAAAAACATTAAAAATTTATTTAACTCATTTACATTTAACATGGAATAAAACATTTAACATGAACAACAATTTACAGCTGACAAACACACTTATATATATTATATCATTGAAACATAACATTGAGAGAACACACACATGTACATGTACATATATATTTATTTACAGTTTCAGTCAGAGAAGACCTTCACAGACATTTTCTATTTTGCAACAGTGTTAAACACTGGATATCCTGTTAGCACCAGAACTTTTAGCACATATTTAGCACATATTTCCAGTATCTGTTACTGGTTCGAAAAACCACAATTTCATAACCGTCCATAGATTTCACCCACTTTCTCCAAGAATTCCTCGGTCCTCAATTCATGATTGTCATAGTCCTCCCATAGTTCCGATATTCTTTTGTCTAGTGACTGATAGACAGCTCTTCGAATACGGCATATGATCTCCTGTGCTACCAGGTTCACTGTGTAGTCTACCATCTTAGCCTCTTGATGAAGGATTGGTATTAGCACATAGAAGGCGAGTTTCCCCCGGCCAGCTTTGTGGTTCAGTCCTCTGTGGTAACCTAAAAAGTAAGATTTAAAAGATTAATAATAATCAACATATTTTGTTAACACATATTAAATTATATCAATTTAAGTGAGTTAAATTTATGACACAATGCCTCTCAAATCCTATGCCTGTTATTTACTAACAATTTTTCACTGTCTTTTATTCAATTTTAGCATCATTTATATTCATGTTGGCCTTATGGGCTTGCTAAAAAAATAAACTATAAAAATTTTACTTAATACCTTCAGTATCGTTGTTTGTTCTAACGGTTTGCTTGTACACAGACAACTCTTCTGGGGACCAACAAGAATTCTCCATCCATTGGTCATTGACATATGTAAAAAGATCAGCCACTGGTTTACTGCTTGTGTCTGCTCTCTCTTTCAGTTTGGTGAAAGCTCTCTTGATCTGGTCACCTGGTAAGAACGGCAAGGCTAGCAGCTTGCTTATGAGAGTGTGTACTGTTCCCCGTTCATATAATATCTATAATTATTTACAGATACAATATGATAAACAAACTTTCAATAGCACTTTATCAGCTGATGAATAGTGTTTTGATTCAAATTCGCATGAAGATTCAGCTATTAAAGATGTTTGTTTTTGAGGGTACTGTTCTAATCTATATTTATTAAGAAAAGATTTAACTTTTTTTATTGACATATCAAAAATTCTATAATCAATTAATCAGTTAAACAAAGTTTATCACTGCATTAATAATTGTTCTTCGTTATAATTAAATTTTACAAAACTTACATCACGTTTAATCTCCACTGTCTGCGATAAGTAGGCAATAGCCGGATGATTGTGCTGCTTTGGTCCCCTCGTAAAAATATCACCCTGCTGGAGAACAGTAGAAAAGCACTGCACTGACTTGTTTCTTACACTACAACGCCACTGTACACTTCTTGCAGTGCGTTTCTAAAAGAAAACATTAACTTAATAAGATACAAGTCATATCACATTGGTTCACCTTATATAGTTTTGCGCTTCCTTCTTGCAGCCTTTTGCACAATTTTAGCTTTTTAGTGAGGTATAAGCGTATTAAATTAGATATAAATCATATCTCACATTACTGCTTATGTGATTTATTTCCCATTTGTAGTAGGTGTAATAAACAATGAATGAAATTGTATTACCTTGATTATGTAAGAGTAACCATCTGTTGAGACCAGTTTGGGCTTGCCACGTATTGTGCCGTTCTCAACAACCTTAAACTCAGCGGCAGATGGTTCCTCCACAACAGATGTAGACATTGTATGGTTAAATTGTCTGTAATGTAAAAAGATACATTTAAACTTGAAATAAGTGATAAATGTAGAGTTTCTGATGACTTTAAATATAATTTTTAAAATTATTTTTAAATGTTACCATTGCAATTATAGCAAATATGTAGATAAATAGAGATTGACAATTAAAATTTGTGGAAATTGTATGGTTAAATTGTCTGTAATGTAAAAAGATACATTTAAATTTTTATTTTGTATTTGTCAAATAAAAATGAAATAAGTGAATAAATGAAATAAGTGATAAATGTAGAGTTCATGATATATGGTTGTATTTGGAGGGTCAGCCCTAGTTACATCAAAAGGAGTTGTGTTGGCATCAGATGCTGCACATGATGTAGAAGTATCAGAATCTGGCATACTAACATCTAATTCAAATGTAGGATTGTAGGGTGCAGTTCTGGTTGGAGACTGAAATTATAGACATGTTAATGAGTTTGAGGCAAAAAGTCCTGGTGATTAAATGACATTAAGACTCTTCAATTACGAAAAAATCTTGCTGATTAATTTGAACTTTACAATATAATTAGAAATTTATAAAATTTGACTATATGCATACTTTTTAATATTTCTTATCAATTATGAACAAGTACCTTATCAACATTAAGACTCTTTTATTTATATATAACTTGCTTTGTATGGAGTTATTGATTATAAGAAATTTATAAAAGTTGACTTAGTAATATGTGTATTTTTAGTATCATTTATCAATTTTAACAAGAATTACCTCATCCACCAAGGTTGAGTGTAGGATATGAACATCATTTGTAGAACATGCCTGACAAACAAAAGTGAGTGGTGTGCGTCTTCTGTTAGCTCTAGATAGTAGCTCCTATGTACTCAATTGAACTAATATCACTCATGCCTTTCAAACAGTGAAAAATTAGGCACTTTGTAACAAATAAGATTTGATGGATGTACATTAAAAAATTTTGATCCTTTTACATTATACACCATTTGAAAATTAAATATTTTGTCTGTTACTGCATTTTAAAATATTGGTAACTTTCCTTGCCTTTCACTTAAAAATACATAGCAAAATTTACAATTGTTTTCATCATTTGAATCGATTTGTAACAGCTTTTAGAATCTGGTTCATAAGTTTTACTTGATATAAGTTTTAAGTTTAATAAGCACATGTGATATCTGAACTGGTTAAGATTTCCTATCTCTGTTACCTATGTCTCTGATAAAATATACAAAAATTATTTATCCACTTATTGTAATGAATAAAAAAAGAACAATTTGTATATACCTATAACTTAAAAAAGTTGCTAACAAATTAAATAAACTTACCGGTATCACATGCTATGTGTTGCCAGTTCCCACATTTATCACAATCAACTGCAGCATCATTATCAGACACAATTATCCTGCATTTAATACAAAGATCCTCCATAATGTCATTAATTAAACAAATAAATGGCACCAGTTATGTTAATTAAGCACAATGTAAAAGCACAAATTTGTCACCAAATGAATATAACTTGTCAAATGAATATTATAAGGTAAGGATCAAACCGAAAACAGACTTAAGTACAAAAACTTCAATAATTAAAATCAACTCAAAATTTATTAGCCAATGGCAAGGGCGTAGCGCCCATTACGCACAATACGCAATTGCGTATAAAAAAATTCCGAAGGTAAAAAAATAAAGTTGAGAAAATCTAAGTTTTAATGATTTTATCGCTATAGATCTAGATCTCCATTTCTGTTTACAAAATATTTCGTTGCGTCATACTGTTTACTAGTGTAAACTATGATTGCGTCACTCTATCGTATGACGTTTCTATTAATTATCGTAATATATGTGCAATAGGAATTTAAGTTTCTCGTTAACTCGAAGCATTTACAAACTTATTGCACAGAGATAAATGAAAAGCTCAGCATTAATTTATCTACAAACTAGCCTCATAATAACTTATCGTTGGTTAAATTCTCAGAAAATAAAGATTATTCAGACTTTTCTTAAAGATGTAGACCGGTTTCCTTTGGAATAGCTCTGTTTAAAAACTACTTTAAATCTTTTAAGTTCTAGATCAAGATTTTAAAAATCATCAACTCGGGGCAAAATTTAATTTTAGGTGTGTTGTTAGTTGTCAAAATGAAAAGAAACATCCGCCAAATTCCAGGACAAGCGACCCTGTTTATGGTTCTAAAACAGGGCCCCGTTTAAGTCGATAATGAATCTGACCAGGCAGAAACAAAACAGAATTCACAAGACCTGGCATGTGACCCTCCTGTGATCAGCAAATCAGACACCAATGTCGCGTCTCTTTCTCCCCCTTCTTCTTCTCCGTCCACCTCCTCCTCTTTGTCTCCCCCTGCTTCTTCTCCCCTCGAGAACCACTAGATTTTTTAGTAGAAGCTCCCTGAAAGCACGATTCCTGGATATCGGAAGTATTGATATCAGATGCAGACTAAGAATGCCAGATTCTAAAAAAAAAGTTGTCCTCACCAAACGGTTCGAGCCACATACAGGTTGGGTTGCACCTCTCGGAGAACTCGAAAAAAAGGCAACAAGTAAGCGAGTGCCGGACTTTGTGTTTGAGCAAGAAAAGCACCCATTTACTTAAGGTACATCCCTTTATTTGATGGGGTATTTTGTGCTCCATGTTTTGCCTTTCATGCGACTGAAAATGTGCTTGTTGCTCGTCCGTTGATTGTCTGGAGCAACGCAAGAAAAGTCGTTGATGGGCACACACACTCAAAAGAACACATGAATTTTATCACAAGAGCCGACCACTATGTACGCATCTGGAAGGAACAGCAGAATGTGGTCGAGTTCGGATCAATTGCCTACGGTCAGAAAGTACAAAAGAACAGGGAGGCGTTAGCAGCCATCATTGAAGCCATAATTCTTTGTGGGCAACAAAATATATCTATGAGTAAGTCCGTTACTTTCTCATCACCACCTGAGGAGACCTATGGAGTGATCATTACACCATTTTACTATATCGTTGTATCTGGTAATTTCCCTACTTTCTTACGACGGAATAGAAGTGTTCTCAGAGTATAAATTTTCTTGTGCATTTGGAAATAGTACATACACTTAGATAAATAAGACTGTAGCCGTTCTTACCAAACTGATTGATGAGAAATGCTAAAAAAAACTTGTTATCTGATTAAATTCGTTTTACAATTGAACGGGCATTCATACATAAACCAATTTCATGATCTGCATCCTTAATCAAACTTCACATGGAAAAAAAAGTTTGTGTATGTTATTTATGGGGGGGGGGGGGGAATGACTTAAAAAATGCATCATGCTTTACATGCAAAAAGTGCTTCAAGACATGCCAGAACCCACGATTTAACATCTAATTTTTCAAAATTTTCCGGGGGAACCCCCGTACCCCCACCAGCGGGAGGGGGACACCCCCTCCCGCACGCTCCCCCTCTCGGCACTTCGCTTTGCGTATAATTTTTCAAGCCCTAGCTACGCCCCTGAATGGGTTATACTTACATTTTTCATAATTGCACTTGTCTTGTTCATCTTTGACCAATAGCTATTCTGCAGTTATGGTTACTCAAAAATATGAGCTAATTAAACATATATTTTCAAAACACCTTAAAAGAATATGAATTACTTTAACTATTACATAATAATACAATAAACAATGACAATGACAATGACAATAGATTTTATTCAGCATTAAACATTGTACAAATGTTTATAGCAAGAAATGATGAACAAATCAAATACACATCCCATATATACAAATGGTGAGCATTAGTGCAAAGGCAATAATAAGTCCTCTTTCTTCCTTAACATTAATAAGTGAAATGCATTTTTTGAGTAAGCATTTAAATGTTTCTGGTATACAAAAAACGTGATGAATACAGTAACAGATTGTATGAGACTAATGAACTGTTTTTCTCTTTTAATTGACCAAGTATGTATTTTGCCAAATTCAACGAAGTACATATTGAGTTGGCATTGAAGTAATAATACAATAAACAGTACAGCTAATTAACAGCTTTGTATTCATGTTTTGCTTTCAGTCCATTAAACAAGATACTGTCAATTAAAAACACAAGGGAAGTGTGAAAAAGATTATATACTTAAAATATATCAAAGGAAAAATCACACAAAGGTTCACACACTTCAATAGAAAGATTATTCAATTAGTTATATCACTTACACATAAATTGAAATTAGTATTCCGTTTCCGGTCAAGAGTAAACAAGGTGGCCATTTTTGGTCTCAGCGATTTTCGACATATTTTCGCAGCTAAAAACACATACTATCAACAAAATGAACCATACAAATGTACAAAACGCTGCAAAACTTTATGAACAACAGCATGTAAGTGATAAATCCCCTGAAATTACACCCGTCCGTACGTCAAACCCATTTTCTGTACTTGGCAATATGGACACTGCTGACGTGGAAGTTTTTGAAGATAGCCAAATTTTAGGACTAAACGTAGGTCGAGGCCAAAAGAGAAATAGAATAAGCACCGGGGGTAAAAGTGGTAATAGTGGACATGATATAGCACCCTCAGAATTTTGTAACTTATCCGTGGATGAAAAGCTATCAGTGTTGTATACACATGTGCATGAAAATCAGTCAACTATGTACACAATAGAAAATAAGGTCGACCAATGTTTACGTTTACATAGTAAAATGGATTCCCTTGAAAAATGTGCAACTTCACATGACAATAGGCTTAAATTATTGGAATATAAATCCATTGACATTGAAGCCCGCAGCAGGCGAAACAACCTGATTTTTGGTGGATTCGACGAAAAGAAAAATGAAGATTGTTCCGTGATAATACAAAACTTTATTCGATCGAAGCTCGAAATAACGTCATCACCTAAAATTGAAAGAGCACATAGACTCGGTAAATTTGATAGAAGTAGTAGAAGAGCTATAATCGTTGCTTTCAGAGATCATTCGGACACAGTATCCATTATATCCAACGCACACAAACTGAAGTATACCAATTATAATATTAACAGAGACTTTCCCCA